TACTTAGTTCACGATTCGCGCTCATTTGAAATCGGCTAACCACCAACTTTGCAAAGTCAGTGACCATTTTCGGATTGGTTGATTTGAAGATGATGTCATCAAGATATATCTTGGACTTGAATGAGATGCTTGTTATTTTTTCTTTGGAAAAGAGTAGGATCAAGAACTCATGTTTGAAGACTACATCGTTTCAGAAAACATGTAAGAGTTTCAAACTGGCCGCGAGGATCTTGCTTAATGCCATAAAAAGTATTTTGTTTTTTTATGCAATAGTTCGGATAAGCTACATTTTCAAAATCAGGATGTTGTTTAAGATAGACTTCTCCATCGAGTTTACCATTGAGGATGGAACTTTTGACATCCATCTGGTAAACCTTGAAGGCCTTGTGAGCAGCATATGCGACAATGATATGATTAGCTTCAAGATGCGCAATAGGTGCAAACGTCTCATCATAATATAGACCTTAAATCTATGTGAATCCTTTGGCCACCAATCTTCCTTTGTTTCAGATGATTACTCTTGGTTTCATCGCGCTTGTTTCATAAAACCAAGCAAGTTCTGACAATTAGGAGATCCGAAGGAGGAGAGACAAGGCTCCATACATTATTTCAGTCAAACTCGGCTAGCACTTCTTGAATGGGTGTAATGTAGTCAAAATGTTCTAATTCTTCTTTGATGTATTTGGGTTCAACCATCAAAATAAATGCAGATAAGTAAGATTCAATTTGAATACCAAAAGTAGAGCAAGTTTGGACTCCAACATTCAATTACCAATCACTTTGTTAGTAGGATGATCCTTCGTCTAAATATGTAATCTCGGAACTTCTTGTGCAGCTGATGATCCGAAATCAACGATGGTTGTGTTTCTCCCCGTGACTTTATTAAATTTAAGGATGATGCTCCCCCAAAACTTCACAACAAAAGATATATGCATCGTTGGAGGCAAAATCAAAGAAGTTCACATCATCATCGTTATTCGAAATGGGAACAATTTCGGAAAGTTGGTCTGATTGTGACGATCTAAATTTCACGACTAAAAATTTCTTTTAAAACATTACTAGACCTCATTTATAAACACCGTATCATAATTCATAGCTTAATTTCATAGTATCAATTTCAAACATGAACTTATTATCAGAGTAAAACATCCCCAGGTTAGCTGGCTATGGTGTGTGCACTTCAATCTTCCCGAGCTCCTCTTTTGAAAACTGAGTACCTGAAACAAAAATTGAAAATCGTAAGCAGAAAGCTTAGTGATTTCCCCCAACGTACCACATACCATCCAATCATATAACATACAAATACTGTCAGACATATCTGGGTGCCTGACCTACCCCTTCGATCCTCTCGATCGGATATTAGCTAGCATATCTGGGTGTTGGCCTCCCCTTCGGCCCTCTCGACCGGACACTAGCTAGCATATATGGGTGTTAGCCTCCCCTTTGGTCCTCTCGACCTGATACTGGCTAGCATATCTTGGTGCTGGCCTCCCCTTTGGCCCTCTCGATCGGATACTGGGGACTATTTCACCCTTCTACTACTACTACCACATCACATGTATCATATAATCATATTCTATCTAGTATGACTGAGTATGACTACCCCTCTTCGGCCCTATCGACCGGAAATCTTGGGAACTATCTCCCCTACTGTTACTGGCATATAACATCATATCATACTAGCACATAACATATCAGGCTGGGCATGACTACCCCTTTGGCCCTGTCGACCGGTACTCTGGGGACTATCTCCCCTACAGTCACTAGCACATAGCATCATATCATACTAACACATAACATATCAGGTAGTAGCAAACCTAGATGAATATCACAAAGACAATCATCTAACATACAACTCCTACCGGTGGGCCGAGATTGTGGTTGTAGACCCACCGCTACTGGAAAGGTAACTCACCTGCACTGCTGAAGTTCTTGTTGATACCCTTCTGACTGCTATCTGACAACTCCCGCACTGCTACTCCAATGACTCCCCGATTTACTAATACCCAAAATAACACTTAGTCCCAAACTTCCCTTCAACAGTCAACTAAGTCAACTCTGGTCAAAGTCAAAGTCTTGGTCAAAATCAACCTTCCAGGTCAACCCTACTCGCCGAGTCCGCCTACTAACTCGCCGAGTTCACACGCTCAGAGTCCTTCCATTCGCGACTCGACTCACCGAGTCAGACCATGACTCGCCGAGTCCATCAAATTCCGAGTTCTGTCCTGTCCAACTCACTGAGTCTCCACCCGACTCACTGATTTGAGTCTTACCTTGAAGGGTTCGGGGTTTCGCGACTTGACTCACCGAGTCCAAGAACAGACTCGCCGAGTCCAAGGCAAACTTCAACAAACTCGCCGAGTTGCTCATCCTACTCATCGATTTCCTCCTAATCTTCATGCTACTCGCCGAGTCCATTTAGTCATTCATACATTCAGAAGCTGTTTAAGTCATGTAGGGACTCCAAACTGTAGATCCATTCTTCCAAGGCCTATTCCTTATGTAAAGTTGCAAACTTTACGTGTAGCTAAGGAGATCTAGGCTAAACACACCACAAACTAGGGTTTAAGACAACCATGCATCACCTACACTCTCAAGGATGATACTTTATGACTCTTCGGGCCAAGACACAACTGGAACTGAAGGGATTCAGCTTGGCGACGTCCAAACCCGAAATATATCATACTTGGTCCAAAATCTCATAAAGAGGAACATGAAATGATCCAACAATTAACAAGGCAAGGAATGAACTTGATTACCAAAATCAGCAGCTAAACAGATGAATCTTCTGGATCCACAACCTTCCTCTTGAACCCTCAACTCCTTCTTCTCCTTCTAGGCTTCAAGAACACTCCAACTCTTCAATAATGGCTCACACACTCAAAGAGAGCACTAGGGTTTCGTGGAATAGCTTCTGGACAATGGGGGCTACAAATGAGGCTGATAGAAGGAGAATGAGATGCTTAAATAGGGTACAAGTCCCGGAATTAGGGCTTTCTCAACCCAGACCAGACTTGTCGAGACAGTCTCCTCGACTCATCGAGTCGGTCACTAAAATCGCGACATGGATCACGCTCCGACTCGTTGAGTTCCTCCCTGGACTCAACAAGTTGACCCTTTGACTTAGGGTTTTCTTTACTTACTTGGCCTTTCTGATCTTGGGTGTTACACTGATGCATCTTGAAATCCTTCAATCTTCGATTTAAGGGTGGGATTACTTCCATGTCCTTAAGGCATAGAAGTAGATATATTCTACCCCTCAACTTGAGAAGGAAGCACTTCAAAATCAAAAAGATGAATGGTTGGCATCAATCCAGATATATTTTGAAAAACAGGTGGATTTGGAGTTGAGATGGGTGTTGATCTAGATTTAGAGTCAAGAGTTGTTTATATGTGTCCTAATAAACTTTCAAAGTCCACTTCATATATAACTTGGCGATTTGGAGAACCAGTAAGTGGAGCATCGGGCTCCAAGATGTGTGTTGTAACATGAGTTGGTTTCGAATTCCAAATGATTGAGCACCCAATAAGATTTTTATTTATATGTGTAACCCAGAAAGATAGCTTCATCCTATTACGGGGATTTCTATCATTCATGGCTTCCTAATGTGTCATTGAGCTTTCAATTGATGATACTACGGTTTTGAGTGACCCAGACCATGGAGACTACTCCAGCTTAAAGATAGTTCTGGAATGTCACTTAGAGCATAGCAAAGAGGGTAGCACTTCAAATGTTCAATGAACTCCTTGATGCATGAATTTTAATCTTGTGGTGGTATCACATCTGTGAAGGAGAAATTTTTAGCTTACTTGACAATGGGAGTATCAAGAGTATTTGGATAGCTTAGAACATCTGCAGTAGGAATGAAAGCGAAGAGAACCCGAGCCATTAATGAAGTATGTGAAGAACTTTCAGCGAAACGGAAATGGAGTGATCTAGGAGAGAGAAAACTTCTATTTATATTAAAAAATCCCCCACTTTTCATGTAATAATTGTGGAAGAAAAGGTGTCATAAAAAGCTCGAATCCCAAGATAACGGTTGGAACATTACCGTTGCTTCCATCTTCCATCGTCTTCATTACCAGGTTAGATTAATAATTTCTTACCAATTTCTCCAGATATTCTACCAATTCATTATCAATTAATGCATTTTGATAGAAATTAGGCTACTAGGAATCCATAGAACATGTACCAGGGGAGTCATGAGGAGGATAAGGTGCATCTGTTTCTACTAGACCAACATATGTGTTGCAGGTGACAAGTTGCATAAGTGTAGTTTAACCTTTTATAATTTTCATAATTTTTATTGTTCTTGATTCTATTTTATGTCATCATGGAAAGAATGACTAACATGAAAAACGATTACATAATTAGTACTTGTGTTCCTTCTATTTCATTGCTCTTCTGAAATTTCATCATCATCCTTATATTTTCAAATGAACGGACTATGAATGTTGTTCTCCTCATAAATGGATACATTATGTATATGTATACATCCTATATGGAATGTTGTCAAACATCAAGAAAAATTTGATCTTGTAGCTGTCACTACAACAAAAATACCCTTTAAGGGCGCGCAAACAATGACACTCGCTGATTTACGATACGCATTTTTATGTGTTCTTAAAAATGATGTCAGCCTTCCAAATTTTGAAGGATAGAGGAAACGCATTTTTGCGCGCCCTAAAATTAATGTCCAATAAAAAAACACAGAGGGCACCTATCATTAAAGGCGTATCGTCTACAAATGTCACTTTATAATTTTTACTAAACGCGCGGGACTCCTTATAGGTAAGGGGGAAAACAAAACCCCCCAAAATTTTGAACACCCGCCTTTCTCTTCCTCTGTACTCTCTACACCCGCCATATCAACTTCATTCTCCCCCTTCTTTCTCTCTGCAAACCCGTTCCTCTATGATCGATTTTCACTTCCTTCTCTATACAAACCCTAATCAAACATAACACATTTGCAATGGTAATATCTTCTTTCACAAAATAGATGATTGACCGAAGAACTAGGGCTTTTGATGAATCAGACATCACCACAACAGCGCCTGCATCTGTTGCATCTTCTCCATCATCGTCTACCTTCCTATCACCTTTCTATCCTGATAATAACATCAATGCCACTTCTTCCTCACCAAATTACTTCTCGTCTTCTTCTTCAAGGTCAGGGTTCTTTTATGTTTTATGGCTTCAAAGATATTGATGTGCAAATTGATTCTCGTTGATCATGTAAACAGTTGTTTTCTTTCTTCCATTTTATTTTCTCACCTTAAATGATATCGTTTAACTTGCCAAGAACTTGAAGTAACAGGGCTTAAGATTTACTAAATGTAAAGGGTTTGCAGGAAATCTTCCAATTGGAGTGATCTAGGGTTTAAGAGATAGACCTTAGCTTTAAGTTGTTGAATTGATGTCCAATTTTGTTCCAGAAGGAAAAATCCGCTTTCTCTTCTTACACCAACTTCCCTCATCTTTCCCCTCATTTCCATATCTTCTTAACTAATTCAAAGAGGATGAGTATGATCGTTTCACGGTATCTTAAATCAATTGGCTTTCTACAATATCATGAGGAAATATGATAAGGTTAAAATTTTCTAATTTTTTTGTTAGTCTAGATACAACAACAAACGCACCACAAGATTATGCAAAGAAAAAAAAATCTAATATCGCAAGGGTAAGAAATATTATATACTTGTTATTTACTTATATTGTGTTTGTCATGATTATTTATTTATTTATTAAATGTGTTTGATGTTACAAGCCACATCTCCTGACTTTCAAGAATCAAACTTATGCTAAGAAAGTTAGAGCTGATGTTGTTGATCTTGGTAACTTCTAGATGAGCAAATATTACAAGTTTTTCACTGATGAAACAAAAAGCCATCTTGTTTTGTGGGATCTTTGTCCTCTTGGATTGACTAATAAGGGTATTTTTGTCATTTTTACACCATGATTTTTATATTAAGTTATAGATTCAATATATATGTTTCCATTTTTTATAGGAAACAAGGTGGAGATAGCAACATACACAAAAGTTTTATTTTAATATATATTCACCTTTCTGCCCATTTGGCTTGGTAACAATATCAACTTGATGTTGTGACCGAAAACAGAAAGTTAACTATACTTAAGGCTCTTCAGTCTATCATGTAAGATGTCAGCACTCAAGACATAGTTAGATGATTACCAAGAAGGTTGGACACTTTGTGTGGATGGCTATGTATGACAACCACTTCATTTGTCCTTTCATCTCCTCTTTATTTTCTCTACTCCATTTACAACATGTCTCTTTGTTTGCACGTTAGTAGAGACACACATATTTTCATTTGTGGTTGGTAGAGCATTTGTTACATATATCAAAAATCTTAAATTGAGTAACAAAGCACACCTGTTAGAGATTGAAAGTTTGATGGGCTATTTTTTGGAGGTCACAGAGGTCTCCTTTCAAATCTTTCTCTTTGTCTTTTATATCTCTTGCTTACTTCCACTTAAATTGAGTTATCAACCTTTTCAATATGCACTAATAAATCTGTCTCTATCTCTATAGGATGGAATTCAGCTTGGCTCAAATCTTTTGTAGGCAGTTGAATTTCTTGTATCCAGGGTACATTCTTAACCTAAAAAATTCTTTTAGTTGCATAACAGGAAGAATTTGTTTTTTGGATTTTTGGTATAAATCTTTATTTTAAATAATGGGCCCATCCATATATGTTGTTGGCAGCCTATTGATAAACAATCTCTCCTTGATTCTGGGATCTTATGTTGCCTGATTTATATTCTTAATGCCCTTTTGGGTCCTGATAGAAGAAATACAAGGAAAAAGGTAACGTCCATTGAAGAGGAACCAGAAGCCATGGATAGCCCAGGTCCAGATCGAGGCCTTAAGGTATACCATATGTGTCATCACTTTTGCAGATATCTGTTAACTCACTTTTTTTTGCTAATGCTCTCTTTTATCTTTGAAGGTAGAAGGCAGTGTTGTGCATATTATGAAGGCATTGGCAAGTCATCCTGCAGTTGATCAGAGTTTAATTGAAGACAAGTCACTTCAACTACTCTTTGAGATGGTTGCCAATGGATCTTTAATTTTATTTTCAAGATATAAGGAATTTCTTGTACCCTTACACAATATTCAACTCCATATGCATGCAATGCAGGTGACTTTTCAACCTTATCACTTAGTGTATCCATTTATATACTAACATATGTTATGTAAGAGGAAGTTGACTGTTCTTTATCTTATTCTGTAATCCAGATACTTGGTCTTCTTATGTATAATGACAATAGAAGCACCACCAAGTACATTAGGAGGCATCAGTTGGTAATGATCTCATATCTATAGTCTGCCCTTTAAGATCCTAGTGTATGAAATTTCTGATTCAATTATAAACTATATGCAGATAAAAATATTGCTAATTGTTGTGAAGGACTTCAAGCCGGAAACTGGAGACCCTGTATATGCACTGGGAATTGTAAACTTGTTGCTTGAATGCATAGAATTGTCATATAGACCTGGTCAGTTGCTTCCTCTGTTTCCTTCTTGTACATTGATTACTATTATTTATAAAAAAAATTTCATTCAGCACTGAACTTAAATGTAAAATAAGTTGCAAAATATAGTTCCCAACAAAAAGGGATCCGGAACTATCTAGATCTGGATCAAGAAGCCTGCCAAAAAAAAGTCAAAGTCTTTCATTTTATGTGTCATGTATTAACCTTGAAGCTACATCGAGTAAACATCGCATTGTGAAACCAGGATCACCACCCCATGAGAGCAATTATTGTTGTCCACCAGAGACAAGAGCAGCAAGACGCCAAGACATTTAGTTGCATTCTGATTCAATGAACAGAAACCAAAAAAAATAAGATATCAAAAAGGGTAAACTTGTCATTTGGATTATGGGCAAAAAGGAAAAGTTTGTTATAATTCTATGTATATAACCTGCATCATATATGTCAATAGCGTTGCTCCTAATCGCCGATTTCTCATTCTTAATCAGTACTCTTTTTGATCTTCAGCAATCTTTATTTATTTGTGTATTTTTGTTCTTTGCTATTTAATTCCAATAGGTATGTAAGTCGGCTATTCATATAACTTTATTTGTTGTTATTATAATATTTCGTATCCCAATTTTAGTCTAAGGGTTACACTATGGTTTTAATTTTCCAGAACCTTAAAGTATTATAATTCACTACTAGAAGCTTTTCTGGAAGTGGAAGATTACTATCTGGAGAGACATTAGCTACTCCTCAAGTCTCTGAACCTGATGTTCACACACACACCATTACTTTCTGGACCAATGGTTTCACTGTTAATGATGGTCCTTTGAGAAGACTTGATGATCCCCAAAATGCATCTTTCTTGGAGGTACCATATTAAGTTAATAACTTCTTTTCCCTTTTCCCAATTCCAATTTTACCCTTACATGATGTGTTCTCTAATTTTCTTAAACAGAGCATAAGGAATTCCTAATGTCTAGAAGAGCTTAGGCCTGCAAAAGGAAGAGCTCCTGTTCATGCCAGTCTTGTGAGGAAGCTTGAAGACTACCCTGTTAGTAATCTTTCCCATTTCTTGATTTCTTATACAATCCTTCTAGGCTGTTTTTCTCCAATGCAAAACATACAGGTCAAGTCTTTGAATGTTTTGTTCAAATTTGAAAATCTTAAGGTCACAAACATTAAAGATAATATCATATGACACATGTAATTATGATCAATAGATAGAAGTTTGACAATGTCAACAGTGTTGACATCAGTCAATATTAGTGATGAAGGAGCCATGAACACTCGCACAACAAGTTAACTGATCCTTTTAAAAAAAAATATACAGCCCTTATCTTTATTATATACATATATATTTATTGCAGGATGGAAGTGATTGGAAAAATGATCATGTATCATCCTTCTCAATGATTGATGCATACTATAGCTTGCCAAACAAGTAACGATTGTCACACCCCAAAACCAAGAACGGCGGAAACGTTCTGGGGTGGAGGACGTCATGTATAATATCAACAACAATGTAAAGTAGTAAACAAGCAACAACATCATCCATTGCATTAATAATATAATTATTATACAAATGTGTTCTGTCAAATTTTGATAAACACTAAAGCATAAATCAAAATGAAAGATAAGTCTTGAACAAGCTCCATCTTCCTTTCTCCTTGCATCGGTACCTGTCTATGATGACCTGAGGATACAAGTAATTTTGAAAGCGAGTATTAGCTTTAAAGCTGGTGAGATCATAAGTATTTAGTGTCTTAATTTGTATGTAAGAATATGTAAGTATATGTATTGTAAGTATTGAAAGTGTATATGAACTGTAAGTGTTTGAAAAACCCTAGAATCCCTATGATTCCTACTAGTATATGAAGGTGTCTTCTACCAAGACCTAACTGTTCTGAATGTAGTCTTCTACCAAGACCTAACTGTTCTGAATGTATGTTTCTTGTAAGAGTATGTATTTTCCCAAGTATAACTATCATTATCCAAAAATATAGTTTCTACATTATTGTGCGTCGTGTGAATGTTCACGAAGTGAATGTAATGGGAAAATGAAATAGTACTATAGTGTAGTGTTGTAAGAACTACAGCCGTACTAATTTCCTTGAACCGGATTTATATTAAGGCATTATGTGATAAATTGCACCATACTATCGACTAGTAACAATGACATAATGAATGGTCGTAATAACGGAATGACGTTTGGCACCCGCAGATCTGTAGATCCCACTGTAGCTAGCAGTAAGGTGTAGGATATTCAACACAGTATAGATCTATACACAAACTCATATTATAGACTGGTTACATCGACATAAGAATGGTCGAAATTAATGTATGACGTTTGGCACCTGCAAACCTGCAGGTCCCGCTGTAGCTAGCAGCAAGGTGTAGGATAGTCAGTCCATTATAGAATCTATACGCAAACTCACGCTCTCCCTTCAAGAGACTCTGGCCACAACTCGAGTCATGAGGTTTACGTCATGCTCTGATTTAAATCACAGTAATTATCATATTCTATTATATGTAATGTAATGAACTGTTCTAGCTGAAATGTACGTGCTTTCTACCTAAAAAGTATAGTAACGTAATCATTCTAGTATAGTTGTATATGTTCTCGTCCTAGTATAATTGTATATGTAATGTACTGTAATGTTCTAGAAAGTATTGACTCATGAATGAACTGACTCATTGTATGATATCGCGTTCTAGTAATGGTTCTAGTATCTTCCTGAACTACCCGTATGGTAGCTTTCTAGTAATCTAAGTGGTACGTATGGACATGGATGTATACCCTTGCTACCCAAGGGCATAGGATGAACTGGAAGGACCTTTTATGACTATATATGTACACATGATATACAACTTATATTTAAACGACTTTCGGACGAATACCTAATATCCCACCAGACCACATCTCAAGGCGCGAAAAGGAAATAGGGTGGATAGTCTTCCTAAGTCTTTTAAACATTTCTTATATAACTATACATATAGAGGCATGCAATTTATAATATAAAAGCATAAATAAGTTTTGTAACACATTTGAATATAAGTATTATTTTAAGAAAAGATCGACTTGATGTCAATCTATAAAACACTTTGAAGGCATAAGTTTAATTAAACAGTTTAAGTATAAGGAAACATTTGTTTGAAACATAGTTGTAAATAAGTTTGAAAGGTAATGTACGGAGTAAGCTGTACAGTGTAAAAAGAGTTTAAAACATACAAAATGTTTATAAAAAAGTCATTTGAAGGAAACTATTTGGTAAAACGGCTAATGAGTAGCCAAATCATTTGAATGCTGTATATTAATCACATGTGATTGATGTAATAAGTAATATAATCCTACTTACTAATCACATGTGATTGACATAATAAGTAGTATGATTCTACTTGTGTCCCCCCCCCCCCATAAAACATTTAAAACAGTTTAAAACATTAGTTAAAGGGTATGAACTCACCTGCAGTAAGTGACTGGAATTGAACGGACTGTTATCGTACGGAAGGATCGGACAAGTGCATGGTGTCAAGTGAAGACTTAGACACACACAATGATCCTAATTACATATGAAAACATATGTATATAAATAATTAGTGATTAAACACTAATTCTACAAGTAATAACATTTAAGCACGAGTATAACACTTTTGGTCAAGTGCTAGGAGGCTAAAGGGTTGCAACAAAGGAGTGCAATGCCCCTAATGTGAGTTTAAGGTCAAAAGACCATATTCATTGGAGTTTACAGCCCAGGGGAGTAAGCTCCTGGCCGTAAACTCTCAACCAAGGCTTGGGATGGTACTTTCAATTACTACAACCTTAGTGGGAATTGGTTCAAGGCCTATACAAGTGTTTGGGCATCATATTGACTCCTTTGGGGAGTTTACGGCCCAAAGACCCTTTTCCCTTGGAGTTTACGGCCGTAAACTCCCTTGGGAGGGTGATTATGGTGCTTTAAAGTCTCAAACATTTATGTGAACAAGTCTAGGCTTTAGTACTTGGCTTTAGGAGGGTTTATGGCACCATTTGGTACCATTTCTTGGAGTTTACGGCGATAGAACCTCTTGGGCCATAAACTCCCTCACACATGGGGTTCTAAATGTTTTAGCTAGTCCATAAATCATCTAGGTACATGCCCAAATTGTCTCATGGCCTAAGGAAGTGTTTAGGGTGTCCTTTGACCCCTTTATGGGAGTTTACGGCCCAAGAACCACTCTTGGCTGTAAACTCCTCAATACTTGTGCTTTTCTTATGTTTCCTAGGTCCTAAACACATTAAGGTATTTGCCAAAAATAGAGTCCAAGCCTTTGGGGGTGATTAGGGCACTTTTAGCACTTGAAAAAGGGGTTTACGGCCCAAGAGCATATCCTTGGCCGTAAACTCCTAAAACTATATGGTTTTGATTAATTTCTAGCCTCTAATGTTCATACATAAGGTCCTTACCTAGTTGCCTAACAAGGAATCAGGACTAGATGGCCTTTAAGCCTTGTTTTGGAGTTTACACCCCAAGAACGTTCTTGGGCCGTAAGCTCCCGAATCTTGGGTTTTGGACATGTAAATAATGTTATTAAGTATATAACAAGTATTAAAACACATCTAGGGAAGTAGACTCACAATCTGGGATGAAAACCCGAAGATCCGTGAGAGAGAAATTGGCTTTTCTCTAAATGGAATTAAACTAATGAACCAATTTGGTTCAGAATTCTATTTATAGTCCTGAGATTTTTGGCAGAAAATATTTCTTTTCTCGGAATGGATTCTAATGACCTAGAGTAATGGAATTACAGTGTTGCACAAAATCCTAGTGCATCCACTCTCCTAATATCTCTTTAGGTGAAAAACCCTGAAACTGCCAAACTTATATTCTAAGTCTGAACTTTCACTGTAACTGCTCTACTTCTATTGGATTGAAATGGTTTGTTCAGAATGGAAATTTCGGGTTGTCACATCATCCCCCAGTTAAAGGGAATTTTGTCCCGAAATTAGAATTTAGGCAAGGAAGTATGCACGAATTATCGAGTCGTGAGGAGGAAACTTCCTAATCAATTGGTTCTAGCGCACCTAAGTGATAACGGGTTCTCGGTTGGCATTCCAACGAACCTTCACTAACTGGCGATGACGTTGCTTCGTCCGCTTCACCTCTCGGTCGGGGGTCACTACGGTTTTAATACGAAGGCGAGGATCTCGACAAGTGGACTTGCAAGAGTCCTAACGGAAAGGTATGGTTTCACGATCGAGAAACGAGGAGTAGAAAGTATGTTACTGAGTTCGCAGAGTAGGTCTAGTTTGTGCGAGGCATAGGACCGATTCTGATAAGAATCTCGGA